GGCGGCTGTTATAGTAAAAATGTAGTAAAAGTTTTCAAGGGTGTTCCACATGTAATGCTGATTTCACATGCAAAGATGTTATAGCCAATCATAGTAGTGGACGTTTCCATTGAAGTCTCACAGCAGACACACCCCATCCCATGTGTTAAATTCAGAGATTAAATTCAGGTTAAAAAATTACCATTTACATCTAAACTATGACTGTTTTAGATGGAAAACCCTGCAAAGATAATAAGGAAACATTATAATATAATGCATTTCATAACCCCTATAAAAATACATTTTGTGACCCCCTATAAAAACAGGCTGAGAGAAAGAGAAGGCATCATGCCAGTGTTGTTTGAGCATGTAAATAATCCCACATGTCAGCAGAACCCACACAATCAAAAAACACTGATGTGAATGTTAAATATAAGGACGGTAGGAGGTATTTGTAATGGAACATAATACTTGAAATAAATTAATCATATGATCAAAGTATGACTAAATTGTATCATGACTAAGCTATGACTCTGACAGTTCAGAATCTCAGGTGCATACATTCTTAAAAATAAAGGTGCTTCATGATACCATAGAAGAACCGTTTTGTCTAAATGGTTCCATAAAGAACCTTTAACATCTGAAGAACCTTTCTGTTTCACTAAAGGTTCTTTGTGGCGAAAGAAGGTTCTTCAGATTATAAAAAGGTAAGAAAGAGATGGTTCTTTAAAGAACCTTTGACTGAATGGTTCTTTGCGGAACTAAAAATGGTTCTTCTATGGCATCGCTTGAAGAACCTTTTGAAGCACCTTTATTTTTAAGAGTGTATAAGATCATATAAGTATTAATCACGATGGTGTTTCTCTCTATAATCCTCTATAATGGCATTTGTAGGGAAAGGAAGACACATTTTTCAGTTAGAAAGTGAACTTCAATAAGCTAGACCACCAAGTTTCATGTTTCATCATATTGAAAATTTAGAATTATATCTGTAAATATTAAATAAGGAATCTGTAGTTATATTGTAGAAATTGTAGAGGTTTTTTTTCTCATATAACAGCTTGTTAAATAATATATAATAGCTCCCAGAATAAATGTAAAAACTACTACTACTACTACTAATAATAATAATAATAACACAAAAGTTACAATAACTCTTTTTCTATGTGAATATATTGTAAAATGTAATTTATTGCTATGATCAAAGATTAATTTTCAGCATCACTACTCAAGTCTTCAATGTTACATGATCATTCAGAAATCATTCCAATTTGCTGATTTGCTACTAAATTATTATTGGTGCTCAATATTTATAATGGTTCTTATTATTAATGTTAACAGTTTTTAAACTCAGTTTTTTTTTCAGGATTCCCTGATGAATAGAAAGTTCAACAGAACTTTTACAGTATTTATTTGAATCCAAACTAAATCCATACTTGATAAATAAATATAGTAAATTCTTTTTTTAAAAAGTGTTAATTCAGCTTTGATCACAGGAATAAATGCCATTTTACTATATACTGAATTAATAGAAAACAGTTATTTTAAATTGTAATAATATTTCACTGTTATACTGTATTTCTAAACTTGAGACTTCTTTCAAAAACATAAATAAATCTTAATTGTTCCAAACTTTTGACCGGTACTGTACATACAGTATTCCCTTAAAATGAATAAGTCAGCATAAGTCAGTCAAGCACAAACAAACACAACATTAGCAAGCAAATTGAATGTCCAGTTCGTGTCAAGCAGAGAGCATCACACCAGGAGATCTGAAGAGGAACAAGAGGAGGACTTGCAAACTGAGCTGTAGATTAATGGAAGCGCGGCCTCGTTCTGTAACACACGCCGCCAGCATCCGCCCAAAAGAGCATCTGAACGATGAAACCTTTTAGTCAAATCAGATTTAGAGCAATTACGTCCATGACGCGCCGCTAATGGTGTTTCTCTCTATAATCCTCTATAATGGCATTTGTAGGGAAAGGAAGACACATTTTTCAGTTAGAAAGTGAACTTCAATAAGCTAGACCACCAAGTTTCATGTTTCATCATATTGAAAATTTAGAATTATATCTGTAAATATTAAATAAGGAATCTGTAGTTATATTGTAGAAATTGTAGAGGTTTTTTTTCTCATATAACAGCTTGTTAAATAATATATAATAGCTCCCAGAATAAATGTAAAAACTACTACTACTACTACTAATAATAATAATAATAACACAAAAGTTACAATAACTCTTTTTCTATGTGAATATATTGTAAAATGTAATTTATTGCTATGATCAAAGCTAATTTTTTACACTAGACGCTAAACACAAGAGTGCGTCTCAAGGCATTCAGAAACATTGCGGAAAATGCCTAATGTATTTATTGTAAGGAGCCCTTGAATGGTACATGTTATTTGTACAGTTTACTGTTGAACATGAGTCCTTTAAAGAGAGTCTCTTAAAACACTTTGCAACTTAGTTTGTTAAAAAATAATTCAATAACTTCTCCAAGTAGCATACACAAACTCACTTCAGATATAACCTTACAGGACTTCGAAGGACGACCATGTATAGGCAATCTACCTGCACAATAGCTCAAATCATCATTGAGAGCCGTTTGATTGAAACCTCTAAATCAGAATAATTGGCACATCATCTGGAGGACCAGCACTTACTGCTGCAGAAGCATTTTAGTGCATTTGAACCTTCATTTTTAAAGATGGAAAGGCTCATTTTCTGCCGTGTCTAACAGAAGGGTTGCTCCTGTACTGATTGCATGGTACAGGTATCTGTCATATGCTGATGCGCTCACAGCAAATTAATTATTAAGCACTTGGCTATTAAACAAATTGCTTCTGTTACGTCTGAGAGTGCAGTTTCACTCTAACTGCCAGACATTTGTATTTCTTTCCTTTTTATATCTTTTTCATTTCTTTTTTGTTAAGTGGCGCTATTAGGCAACTCATATATGTATTTGCTTCTGTCTCTTTTTATTACATGTGTAAGAATAACTATTTAGCATCTTCAGAGTGTTGAAGTGTAAGTTAAGGTGTTCAAATGTAACCTGATAGAGAATTTTCTATTGGAATATAGTACAAATAACAATATATTATTACAAATAACAATATATACTGTATGTGTATGGACATGTAGCTATGGACAGTAGTCATTATTCAGAATTGTTTTACCAAATTCCACAATTAATTTAGGTAGTCCATACAGCTGTATAATATATTGCAATAGATTACTTCTATTACTTCGGTATTTACTGTATGTTAGCTGTGGTTGGCAACTGTTGCCCTCTCCATCTTCTATTTCACTTTCTCTGTTTGTTCCAGTGCAATAGATGTGCTTAAATGTGCTTGTTTTCATAAGAATAAGTTGTGAAATGGGAGCCTTTAAATGGGATGAATATCATTATCATAATGGGAGTACAGATGTGTGCATATTATTTATAATATTCACTGCTCTAGCTCATGAAATATGAATGTCTGCCTCTGCGGTTTGTAAAATGACTTTTCTTATTGTTTTGTTTCCCCTCCAGCCAGAGCTGGTTTTGAAATTACCCTTCATATTCAAGTGAAGTACTACTGTAACTTATCTGATTTCTCTTGCTTTTCAGATTTGGCCTTTATTTTAATTTGAAGAGTATGTTAGTTAGAGTATGTTTTAATTTCCCTATGTCACTTTTATATTTTTGTTTGGTTTGTTTTATGAATCATGAGCTTGTAAACTCTAGGAAACTTCAGAAAGAATCCTGATTTCCATATGCATGAATAAAGCATAATGGCAAACAATGACAATTTTACTGCATGCTTTGTTACACTGGCCACTTTAGTGACAGAAATAAACCAGACCTCAAACAAATATAAATATTTTTTTTTCTGGTTATATTAAAGTAACACTAAGGCATGCTTATTATTTTCTTGTTGTTGAAATTAATTTGCAAACTTATTTTTAAGTTATGTGTTTATAAAACTCATGTTCATGTCTAAAAGAGATGAATGCATAGAAATGTACATAATATATTACACAATTGTGTTGAAATTACACAATTTCTACACAATATATATTGTTAAGAAGAAATGAACTGACAATTCTTTCATCATTTATTGTCTCATATGGAAGCTTGTTTCCACTATGAAAAAACATTTATGCGTAAAATAAATAAATTATTAAAAGTTAATTGCAACGTTTTCAATTTTCACTTTTTTTCCCCCCTGAAATTATGTGTACATCTCACAACTGTGAATTTATACCATGCAATTTTGAGTTTAAATCTCACAATTCAGACTTTTTTTCCTCATAATTCTATAAACTGGTGCAAAATAAACTCGAAATCCTGAGGAAAAAAGGTATTGATTGCAAGATATGTAGGTTGCAATTGCCTTTTAATTGCTTTATTTTGTGGCAAAAACAAGCTTCCATACTCTCATGTCATTTTAACACGACATTATGTTTTCCCATTTAATGATATTTCAAATTAATTTATATTTAAATATATAAGTATTTATGCTAGCATTTGTTTTTAAATCATACAATGTTGTTTATGTCTCTGTGACATTCACACCATACGTGACACAATTAAACATTATTTTCCCTATGCAATGATATATTTACAGTATGAATAGTCCCAAAAATAGACTTTTGATGTTGATTTGAAATATGACATGGACATATTTCTGTGAGATTCACCCAACAATCCCTCTGTCTCTGAGGAGGCATATTATTCTCGTATCCTTGACTCCTAGCATCACCTACTGAGAGCTGAGTAGCTCTGTGATACCTTTCAAGAAAAGTAAATATGTATATGTATCCATCTGATAGTGAAGGTGTCGGAGAAAGAACCAGCTCTCACATGTCACTCTTCCCACTTCACTTGACTGCATATAGGACAAACTGTACTTTGAAAACCTTTTGTCTGGAGTAAATCCATGTGTGTGCGATAGCACAGGGTGCCACATGGACATGCAGTTGATTTGCCAGAGGGATAAATGAACATAATCTGTCACTGTGTTGTGCTCTCTGCAGGGAAATGCAGCTGTCTGGAAGGTTATGCCCCTGACCCTGAGCATAAACATCTCTGCGTCCGCACTGATTGGGGCCGCAATGAAGGGTGAGTGCTGCAAACCACTCTGTCAACGCCTCACAAATAGGCCAAAGAGAGAGATACGATTCATCACCTCACCTCATGCCAAGTGTAGTAACTACTCCTCCTGACTCTTGTGGTGCATGTTAATGAACTCACTCAAGCAAACAGCTGGTCCAAAAAAATTTAAAATAATAATAATCACAGCAGCCCAGAAGTCGACTCCAGTCTGAGACTTAAAAAAAAAAAACCTTGGGACAGTGTTACACTTAACATAACAACAGCAGTCACACATCCAGGTAATTTAAACAAGTTAGGTCTAAAGTAATCTGAAAGTAATCAAAGAGTAGTCTGATAATATTACCTAAAATATATAATGTAATGGTTGTGTTACTAACTGTAATTTCTGTCATGTCATTTGGAATCAGTATCAGATTACAATTTGTCAGTAATCTACCCAGCACTGGCAACTGGATAGCAACACCATAGCATCATAGTGGTCAGTACTGCACCTAACGACCACCCAGTTCTCTTTAGCAACCACCTAGCAATACCCTAGAAACACCACAACATCCTAGCCTCATAATATACTTTTTGCCACTTTGGATAAGCACCTCTGACATTTTCTTCAGAAAATGTGAAACTCTAGTTCAGAGGTGCACAATTCTGATCCTTGAGGGCCACCTTCCTGCAAAGTTTAGCTCCAGCACACCAGAAGTTACTCATTATTCTGAAGACCCTGAGTAACTGGTTCAGGTGTATTTAATTTCGGTTGTAACTAAACTCTGCAGGACACTGGCCCTCCAAGAGTAGGATTGGACACACTTGATTTAGTTAATTACTGTTTCTATTTTAATTTGTCAGCTAAAACCCTTAGCTACTCACAGAGCCTTTTTGTGTGTTTTTCCCACAGTCCGTGGCCTTACTCAAACTTGGAAAGAGGTTACGACCTTGTCACAGGCGAACAGGCTCCAGAGAAGATTTTCAGGTAAGAACCAGATCTCCCCACCTGTCTGTCCTCTAAAATAAGGTCCCATACTAAACACAACAGTCCCTGGGGTGTCCCAGTCCAGGCAGGGCCTCCCCACCTGCTGTCAGCCGCCCTCATACTGAACACAGGACTTCAGAGATTGCCTGCGGGGCATCGCTGTGGGTTTCCTGGTAGGAGTTGCCCTAGGCATGTTCCACCTGAAAGAGGAGGGAGCTCTACCGGAGCCCTGGGCCTCTTTCCATTTTAAAGTAGCGTCTAGGGCCACTGTGAGTGCTTAGTGTGTCCATATATTTATTTTTCATGTTCTCAAGAAAATGGTGGAGATAGAAAGGGAACAAGGACAGGTCACAAACCGCAGCATGTCAATTTGGATTTCTTGATGTTTCTGTCCTGCGGGCGTGACAGTCTAAAATGCTTCTGCCCTTAAAATATCTGTTGTAACTCATCACATGTATTGCAGCAAGCCTGACTGCAGTCTGAATGTTGCATGTTGATTTTTCTAACCAATCTCATTGGAAATATGTGACTACATTTCTCAAAAACATAAAATACAGGTAAATTTTGCTGCAATTTTCAGACACTTTGCATGACAGATCCACAAGAGGCACTATAAGCAAGTACATTTACATAGGCATGTACATTTTTGTAAAAAGATATACTTATTTTGCAGTTTCACAGTGCTAAATAATGTGTTAAATTTTCTTTGAAACAGTTATATGTGATTATTGCAACATTTTATTATGTTGGTTAATGCATGGCAATTAATTTGCCATACCATAGCAACGTATTAGTTGAAGAAACCATGCTGTTTTAGTTTGCTTCTACAAGTCCTTGATCTATTTTTTCAGACCCAAGCACTTCACATCACAAGTGCAATGTTGTACCGGGTGCACTTCTGAGCAGGTTTACGATGCAGGAAATCCATACATGTGAAGCTAGTTATGTGATGCAAACATAAAAATGCATTAATAGAAGCAAAAGTTGTTGGTGTTTGACACCGTGTCTACACTGGACGCGACGGTTGTCGCGCCACACAGCAACAGCTAAAGTCTGTGTACACTGGACCGTTAAAAATCACTTGAACTTTGTGTCAGTACGTCATAAATAGAATGCGGCAGCAGTTTACTGTCGTGTCGCACCGCACCGCATCCAGTGTAGACAGCATCGCTGATTATAATGAATTCTATAGAATTTTGTCGAAACCGGGCCGCGCCACTCGTGTCCAGTGTAGACACAGTGTTACTCTCTAGTGTTTTGTCTTTAGTGCCTCTAGTGTTCATTTGATGGATACTGTAGTGAAATGTATGTATGAAACAGACAGTCGCATATTTCATTTTTTTTCCCTCTTTAAATTATTTACGCATAAAAATGAGACATGTCCCAAACATGTAAAAATGAGACAGAACTTGTGTGTTAAAGCATAATTTAGTTGTTTATGGTTGCTGAGAAATTACAATTATCCAAAATAGCAATTAACATTATTTACTTTTTTTTTTGCATATACTGTTACTGTAATACAAATTTACTCACACCATGATATAGGATTTTGTCATTCAGTCCACACATATAGTTGCAGCAATTTCAACTAAAACAAATGTGTATTTTACGCTGGACAATTAGCTGATGTAATGACAATTTCTCACTTTGATTATTCCTATTAAATTATGTCTCTCGTTAATTAAACGTGAAGATATATCTCATTATTTTGCTTGTTTTCAGACTACGAGCATGAAGCTGTTCTTTTTTTTCTTTGGATCTAAACGTGAAGGCGAAAATAAATGAAATTTATATCATCCCATTCACTCTCCCCTTACTCACCCAAGCTGTCATCACTCTTAACCACCTGACAACTCAAGCCATTTAGTTCAGCTGGCAGCAGTTGACTGATAGAGGACTGAGGAAAGCAATCGATGCCCTCTGAAGTGTCAATTGATGGGCCGAAGCAAGGCCTGGGCTATCGCTGTCTTATTTATGAGTGGAAGTATGCATTGATCCAGAGTAATTCAGATGTGCTTGTCCATATCCAAGGTCAGCAGCTGGCCAGACTCAGACCTGAGCTTTAGTGCAGTGGAGCCCTCGTGTCAGATCGCTATGATATATGATAATAGTGCATGTTATCATACAAATTGAATTCCCAGAATATGGATTAATTGGCTAAATTAATATTATATTAGCTAAATTATTTTAGCTCTTCAGTTACATTAACAAAGTAATCATGGTGCTAATAAACAAATTATGAATTAGTCAGCCGTAGTTAATATACATGTCACATATGTGCCAATCGAAATCATGCAATAAGACCCAAGAAGCTGTGGTTTACAGCTAATTTATAACAGCTAAGGAGTGTTGTTAGGCACAATACTGTAATAAATTAATTGTAAACCATGGCTTCATGGGGCTTATTACTTTTATAAAACAGTTATTTGATATACTTAGCAAGGTTTCATAAAATAAAATAAAAATCTAATAAAATGTAATGATATTAATACAAATATTCTTCCGCCAAACAAATGTAGTTCCTTAGAAACAGTTGTGATTGTAACAAAGTGACAAGCACAGACACAGAAACAAGGGCACAGTGGAAAACATGCTTTAAGATTTTTATAGATCATCGGGATCTTTTAAAAGGCACCAGGATTGGCTGTTTGGTGGATCAGTGATGTACCGATTAAGCGCTGCACGTAGGCCAACATGGCTGCTGAAACCGTAGGGTTCACCTTTCCCGTTTTTCATGGTGGCATAAAACTGATGGAGAGCCTGGTTTAAGTCAGTTTTGGTTATTTTTTTAAAAATCGACCCAGCAGGCGCAGGACGTCAATATAACATCAGGTTGATGTTGGACATGACGTCGGACAGATGTTGCATTTTGCTTGAGAATGAAAATCGGGTTGACGTCAGTATTTTCTGCCAATTTGACATTGACTTTATGTTGGATTTTGGTTACACAACCTAAAAACAACAAATATCAACATCAGCTGATTTCGGCATTGGACATCAAATTAACATTGACATCAGACGTTGAATTGACATTGAATTTTGGTCACCCGACCTCGCAACCGACATTTAACCAAGTATCAGTGTCTTATGGCATTGTGTGCCTGCTGGGAATAGTCAGATTTTTTTACAGCACACCAGGACTGACAGCGAATAGCCCACATAGTCTGCTTAACAGTACCAACTTAATTTCTTGACTTTTCCAACTCTTCAATTTGTCTCTCATTAATTTCTGCTTGTCTGCTCTGTTTTTGATCTCTTTCTCTGTTCTGTCCATCTCTTTTCACTGCTCATCCTCGCTTAGCCCACCCAGTAAATCAAAATTCACAACAAAATCTGACATCTTCAGTCATTAACAAAATATGATAATAGTCTGCATTCTCTTCTTACAATATCCATCCATCCTGTCACGGGGCTGACGAGACGAGAGGCGTGCAGATCCATGTGCAAGCTTTATTTAACAAGAGAAGTGGTCAAACACAGGCAGGGTCAATTAATGGCAAACAGGTATATGACGGGCAAAACACAAGAATAGTCCTAGGGCTAGCGTAGGTCACAGATCGGCAGACAGAATCACAGGGGCGAGACGAGAGGGAAAAATCCAGGAAAACAGGCAAAGATCAGAAACCGAGAGAACAGGCAAGGCAAGGCAAAACAAGGAAACACAGAGACTCGGAACGGGGTACAGGCTAAACAATACTCAGCGGAGAATGGTTGTTTGAGTGGGTATTATATAGTGAGTGAGTGATCTGAAACAGCTGTGTGCAATCAGTGCAATCAGTGCAGTGTGTAATCAGTGCAATGAATGATGGGATATGTAGTCCGGGGTGCTATGCAACAGTTTGTGTTGTGCGAGAGTCAATGTAATGGAAAGGGTGACTTCTGGTGGTGAATGAACAGAAGTCCATGGACAGGATTCGTGACGCATCCATTTATGTATTTTTTTAAATACATTGCGATGAGTAAATAATGAGAAAAAAAAAGATTAAGTTTAGATGAATTTTCCATTAAGATTCTAGGTGGTGCAATCATGTCCATTAATCTGCGTTACAAAGAGATTATAGGCTAAAACTGAAGGCTCTGTTCTGTTATCAGCAGCAATTTTCCTTCTTGAATTTTTCTTTGGAAACTTAGACACTCTCATTTCTGTTCCCACTGAAGTCCACCAAGGTTCAAAATGTTGTTTTTCATGACAATTTTCTGTTCGTTCGTTCATTCATCCATTTATTATTATTATTTATCTTTATTTTTAGTAGTTGTATTAATTGTACTTTTTTATTTAAAATAAAATTATAATAGTACTTTTTTTATTTCATCTCAGCTTTATCTTAATTACAAAAATTGTAACAGATTTTTAAATAGTTTTAGTTCACAATAATAACACTGCCACATCCTCTTTGACCCTTAGTGTACCTTTAAAAGTTCTGTATGTAAATGATGTATGGTATGATTGGCTAAAACTCTTCACATGCCAAATGATTTGCAGTACTCTTTTACAGGTCATGAGTAGCAGACAGGTTCTGAAATTAAGAGTATGACCACACTAATATCTCTTTCGAAGAATGTGACAAATCCTATTTTCCATTACATGACCACTTCTCCATTATACAATAATTTCTTCAGATTTGCTGTGTATTTTTTCATTGTCTTTTTATTATTTAGTTATTATTATTTTACTAAATAACTTTGTCTATGTCATTAGCACACAACTACTGTCTAGTTTGATGGTCTTTATTTGTGCATGTTGTGAAGAACAGACCTTCTCTCTCAGTCAGTGTGGCTTTCTTTTAATAAGCAGCTGTTTTTATTCCAGCAAGTTCCAGAGGGTCATTGAAATTCAGCTGACACATTACGCTCTTGTGTTCATGTCCCTCACACTGCAGGTCGTCCTACAGTCTGGGTCAAGGCCTATGGCTGCCAGTCAGCAAGAGCTTTGTGGTTCCTCCAGTGGAGCTGTCAATCAACCCTATAGCCAGCTGTAAGACGGACGTGTTGGTTACAGAGGACCCTGGAGAAGTGCGGTGAGTTAATCACAGCTCAGCTCTAGAAGCCCACCTGTGTGTTTCAGTACATTCTAGACTGAGAATGGACATCAGAAGACAGAAATATGTTGCTGCTGTAACTGATGGGTTGAATGTAATTTATTAAGCCTGGTCTGGATCCTTTTTTATATAATCAGGTTTATTAGAGATATTTAGTTATATGTCCTTGACTCAGCCAACATATTGCTGTTGCACAAACTTGTGTTATTTTTTATTTTTTGGTTCCTGAGGCCTATACTTAAAAAAAAACACCAAGGGTGGTCACTGGGTCAGTAATTTATTTGTACCTTATTCAACCTTAAAGGAGCATATAAGTACCTAAAGTTTTTATTTATTTATTTATTTTATAATGCACTTTTTGGTAATTATGCAAACATTATGGGAATGTGACTTTTGAATGTTATTTTAATGTCGTTATAGTAACATTTAGCAAAAAAAAAAAAAAAAGAACATGAACATTCAACTAAAACATTTCAGAAATAAAATGTTTCATGAATAATGTTTAATATAATATATGACTTTACAAGTGCATAACCCTACTAACCCTAACCTAACAGTTTACTAATACTCTAATGACTGCCAGTTGACATGCCAGTTGCAAATATACTTATAGTAGAATGTCTATGTGAACTATTGGCATAAAGTGATCAATCTGAACAAACATTGTATTATTACTGGAAGAACGTTTGTTCATACCTTTGAGAGAACTTTGCTAGAACATTAGCTAAAGTTCTGAGAACATTCCTTGTTAGCTGGGTAATTGCTGATTCTTTGTGATCCTTTGTGAAATTGACTAGCAATTTCTAAGTGAACATTTTTTTCAGTGCACCTTCTAATCACTCAGAACGCCTTAAAATCTGCCTCACAACTGCCTAGCAACACCCTTACAACCAATTAAACCACCCCAGTAATCGCCTATCCTTAGTAATCACCTTAGCAATTGCCTATCCACCTTATTCCTATGTCCCATGACGCTTTGTGTGAATTATGGGTATAACCTTTCATTAAGCTGTAAACACTTTTAAAAGCGATATGTTTTCCACAGCAATAACGAGCGATCTGTATTATGTAATGCACGTTGCCTTAAGCAAAAATGTTCATTAACTTTGTCATTGCAGGATACTATTTCAAAGTGATTTTTGACATTTTGACAGATAAAAGTTTACCTGTGAAAACAAACCTAGAAAGAGATGGGAGGATTTGAGGAGAAAACAAGAGATTCTTTGTGCATTCCAGGCAATTATTAATGGGATATATTGCAAATTAAATCAGGAGACAGACCACAAAATGTACAGTATATGTTGTCTTTTTTCATACTATCACAGCGGTATGTGAAGGGAAAAAAGAAAAAAAATCATGTGGAAAAGAATGTAGCGACTGAAAGAGCTCTTGCCATAGATAGTCTTGTTATAACACGTCACATTAAAATACCAAGCGTTACGTTATTCTCGTGATGGTCGAAATAGATCAAGGACTTGTAGAAACAAACTAAAACAGCATGGTTTCTTCAACTAATACGGTCTGAAAATAAAACATGAAGGAAATCAACAGCTCATTCAGTCAAACAAACGGATAAGCTTTATTTGTAAGGCAACCTTATGACTTGAAATTATTAATTGCAGTCTTTTTGAATGGAAGTTCCCCAAACCGGAAGTGTTTTAAATTGGGACCATGTATTTATTTGAGCATTTTAATTTAATGTTTTGCAATTATTTATTTAACTTTGGTTCTGCATTCTATTGACATACAAAAACATACATTCTCTGGATTGTTTCATCCAGTACAGCTCTGTCCTAAGTGAAATGTTCAGGCAGTTATTAATAGACTTCTCAAAGCCCTTTATCTGGCATTACTCTTGCCTCTTCATTTCTGATAGCCCCACAGCTGCTGTTGGCTGAAATGTCCTCAGGGAAACACGCTATTTACAGTATTACTTTTTCACAACCAAGCTGTTTTCATCATTATTGCAATCCCAACATATGCCGAGCTGTTCTTACAGTGTCAGCATATACTCTAATATGAATCAGGTATAGACTAAGAGCAGGAGCATCATGCACCTATTTATTTGGGTATTTAAGCACCGTTGACAGCCTGGATATAGTGGTAGTTTCTGTTTAGCCCCATATAATATGATAGTTTGTCAGAGTTTCAAGAAGGATGACACAATTTAGTGTAGTGTGAATTCAGTGTAATGTTCTCAGACACTGCAATGTTCTGTTCCTTGCAATTAAATTAAAATGTATTGCAGTTCATTTATTAAAATGAAATTAGCTGACATTGAGTGCTTTCTTTTTTTTCCTTTTTTGTGCTTACAGACATCTTTATATGTAATATCATAATTACTTCTTAATGTCTTTGAAATATGGTTAAATTGTACTGCCAAATTTTGACAAACATTTATGGTAAACTAAAATAGACTTTAATGTATAGACTTTAATTATACTTTAGGTACTTAAAGTTAGGATAAAAATGCAGTATTCAATTTAAATGTAATATGAAATAACACACTACATTTAAAATTATAATCCTTCCATGTGCTTGTGTATTTTAGTCAACACATAAGTGTACTTCTTTAATCATGACAAAACGTTTTTTAATTTTTTTATTTATATGATTTTTTAAATCTATCTTTTATTTTGACATCATTACAAAGTTCAGTTTTTACATGTATTATTATTATTATTATTATTACATTTAAAATTAATATTGTATTATCTTCAATAGTCTTATTCAAATAATTATACGACAAATGTGCGTTTAATACAATTAAGTGCACTTATTTTTCACAAGGGGAGGATTTATATTTAAAGGGGTCATGACATGAATTGTATTATTATTATTATTATTATTATTATTATTATATGTTCCTTGAAGTTTATATGTAAGGGAAACAGGTCAATTTAGCTAAAAGGGAATCATTTAAGATTTTAAAGGGAACTCCACCAATAATATGTAAGGGAATTAGTATTAATAAAGTTTTTTATTTTTATTTTTTTTGCGCAAAAAAAATAAATAAAAATAAATAAAAGTATACATAAATAAATATGTGGAAAAAATGTATTCTAAACCCTCTCTCTAAAATGTCCTGTTTTAAGGAGTGGGTCCTTTAAGGCTTGTGAGAGCAGTGAGTCTGCAGTGAAGTGATATTTGTTCATTTAGCTGCACGAATGTAAACAAATCAGGCTTCAGTATCAGAATAAACAGGTGTTTCCCCATAAGCATAAATATATGCAACACTTGTTCCCGAGGTTTTGCAAAATTTAGACAAAAAAAATATAATCATGCAACTCTTATGCAAAAAAAAATAATAATAAATTGCATTTAAAAATGATCAGGGAGCACTGAATGGTCATGATGCTTTGGATTAAGACTGTGAAAACACAGGCATCAGATCATGAGCATGCTTTATGAAATTTATATCCTCACATTACAATAAAAAAAAAATTTCCCCCAACATTAATTTGTTCTTAAAAGCCTGTCAGTGAAGGAATTATGTTCTCGGTTGCAAGTACATTACAGAAAATTTAAGCAGTTCTGGCACACTGGAGTATTATCTTTGCCAAATAAGTAAAGTGGTGTGAATGTTGTCTAATCTAGTACTGTAGTTGTACTTTCCATTTTGTGTCCAGAAATGGGATTACGTTTCTTTCACAGAAAACACCTTCTCTCATTTCCCCCTCATACACTTAGATCATTTCTGAGCTCTGATGATGAATAGCATTCATTAACATTTCAATTTCATCCCAGAATGAGGTGGCCATGTCTCTGGCCTTTGGGAAGTGGGGACAGTGACCTGCGATCACTTGTTTTTGGCTTCCTCCAGAATGGAAATTAAGCTGACTTTCCACCAGAAGTGTTAACGTGCAGCTCCATCTCTCCTGATGCTCTCCTCTTGTCTGTCTGTCTGTCTGTCTGTCTGTCTCTCTCTGTCTATCTATCTATCTACCTTCATCTATTTTAACAAAACACATTTTTCTGTAATTCTGTAAGGTCTCAATTAAGGTGACAGCAATAAACTAGATAAGATATAGTCACACTAAATGTAAAACAAAAACAAAGCAAAACACCCTTGTTATGACAAAGCAGCAGCTTTGCAATCAATATTTCACCATTATTTCACCGTCCTAAAATGCCATGCAGGGGCAACAAACTGTGAATTGTTGAAGCAATAACAAACAGCACATTACCAGTCTAATAGACTTGTTTTGCAAGTCTATTAGCTATTTTTATCCCACACAAACATACTGTTTCAAAAGGAGGTACATCAAGCGTGAGGTCTTTAAACCTGAGCTTAATAATGAACTTGACACATGGGATTTTAATATTAAAATATATATTCATCTTGAAACATTTGATATTTGTGCATACTGTATTTCACACAATGTTGTCTCCTGTACATTTCTCTCTAATGTGTGAGTATGCAAAGTGTTTACTGTAAGTGTGGAAAATGCAGCACTAGTTCAATCAAACTCTAACTTTACAGTTTGCATACATTCAGACTTGCTGACTTAAGGTTGTGAATGATTTATTAAGCTTAATTAGTACTTAACATCATGGCAGGGACAAAATAATAACTTTGAGGATGGAAACACTTATTTTATGAGTGATTAGTGGAGTTTCAGAGGAATACATTATATCGGTGTAATGTATCTAGAAAATAATTAGTTGCTGCTGCACAGGAAATGTCTGTCACATCACACACAGCACAATGAATAATGAGCTCCTCTTAATTATGCAAATGAGATTCAGTGGGAACACCCATGAGTGAAGGTTGCCGACTGGAGCCAACTAAAAACAAAACAGCATATTCAACTAATGGAAGACAAGCAAATGCACTGTACTCTTACTATTATTAGATTACTATTTCAAGTCTTTTAAACTTTTAAAGATGGTCAGATGCAATAGAATTTGGTAAAGGTTCAAGCAAAAAATGGACCCAAAAAAATCCACAGATTGATGCTTTGGATTAAGACTGTGAA